TGTGTATTAGTGCATTGCCTGCATGTATATAAGTACACCCATGTTGTGCAATGCCCAAGGAGGTCAGAAGAGGACTTCAGATCCCCTGGACCTGGAGTTACAGACCATTGTTAGCCACCATATGTGTGCTGGGAATCAAACTCGGTGCTCTACAAGAACAGTCTCAGTGCTCTTAACCTCTGAGCCACCTCTCCAGGCCCCGTGTAGAAGATTTAAAAAAAAAAAAAAAATCACCCTAACTACTGAGGCTACTTTTCAGAAACCCTCTTCCTTTGCTTTTCTCTTCCCCCCACCTCTGCTTGGGTCAGCTACTTTAGATTCTGACTCATGGTTCCCCCCTTCTGCAAAGAGACAAAATTCCATCTGAGAGATGTGAAAAGAATGCACTTATGCAAATGCCTAGCTTAATATGTGCACAATAACTATCTCTCTACTCACCAGCAACTCCCGATAGCTCCAAAGTAGGAAAAAAAATTCTTTGAAGATATATTCATTTTATGGTGGTACAAGCCTGAAATCTTAGCACTCAGGAGAAAAAGAAGCAGGAGGATCAGGAGGTCAAGGCTAGTCTTGGCTACATAGTGAGTGTGAGGAGTCCAGGTAACATGAGACCCTGTCTCAAAAAAACAAAACAGTAGCAAATAAGATGCATCTATTACAACTTTCTGTCTGTCCCATAATGCCTTGGTCAGTGGCTCATATACACAAGTTGCCTAATAAGCATTTGTAAGTGAAGGAGTCCTAATAAGGAGGGCTGGCAAGATGGCTTGGCAGCTAAAGGAGACTGCCTCACAAGCCTGACGACCTAGTTCAATCCTCAGAACCCACAGTGCATGAAGAAAGGGCTGGAGAGATGGTTCAGTTGCTAAAAGAGACTCCCGAGCGGGGCATGGTGGTGCATTACACAAGTTGCCTAATAAGCATTTGTAAGTGAAGGAGTCCTAATAAGGAGGGCTGGCAAGATGGCTTGGCAGCTAAAGGAGACTGCCTCACAAGCCTGACGACCTAGTTCAATCCTCAGAACCCACAGTGCATGAAGAAAGGGCTGGAGAGATGGTTCAGTTGCTAAAAGAGACTCCCGAGCGGGGCATGGTGGTGCATGCTTTTAATCCCAGCACTCGGGAGGCAGAGGCAAGTGGATCTCTGTGAGTTCAAGGCCAGCCTGGTCTACAAAGTAAGTTTCAGGACAGCTGGGACTACAGAGAGACCCTGTCTCAAACAGACAAAAAAAAAAAAAGGAGAGACGAGAAGCTTAATCAATTGCATTGTTTTGAGGATATTTCTTCTTTGGATTATGAACCATTAAAAAAAAAAAAAAAAAAAAAAAAGGAGAGAAGAGAGAGACTCCTGAAAGTTGTCCTCTGACTTCTACACGTGCCATGGCATGTGATACCTGCACATATATATGCATATCATATACACACATAATAATTTTGAAAAGAGGTACTAATACAGAATCATAACATATTAACTAAAACCAGGAGGGATGTTATCTGAGTTTCCACCCATCGAGATGGTCCTGGGCCTGTAACAGGCTCTAAGAAACACTCCTTTCTTCCTACTGAGCAAAGGAAGCAGAGTCCTCAGGCAGCAGTGCTTGTCTTGGTGGGAAGTGCTGCTCTGCTCCGGGGAGCTTCCTCAAGAGGCAGTTAGGATGCTCATTCTTTGCCAAAAGCAAGCAGTATTCTTTAGACTTTGCACAAGTAAATACTTACGTGTCAAAGGCACTGAACTCCAGTGTTAAGCGGGCAGGCAGGCCGGCAGAGTCACCTGAGAGGAAATGTTACTACATTTCAATAACAGGCCACAGGGGCAGTACACTCAATAAAAAGGTCTGTAGCTAGTCTTGTCCAAGGTGCACTATCTAAGTTCTGCTTGCCCATGACACACAGGTGACAAATGCAGAGATAACTTGGGGATGTGACAGAGAGACAGGGAGGGATTTGTAAACAACATAAAAATGATGTTCTGGTCTTTCCTGGTTCCTCCCCCAGGAAGCCAGCACAGCAGTATTTGCTTTTAATAATTTGGATTTAACTACCCCTTCTCTTTCCCAAAAAAGGGGAAAAGATATTTCAAAAAATGAACTTGGGGCACAGGCAAGAAAGAAGTAAGAAACTATGGAAGAACTGTTACTATTAAAAAAGGAAGTCTCTTTCTAGAGGAAAGCCAGTGCCAGGGTTTGCCTGGGGAAGAGGCAGCTTGCCTACCGTGCAGGAGGCCCCTGGCGCTACCTGACAGGACTGCCAAAGTAAGAGAAATAAGCACCTGAGCCAGAATACGGGAAGCTGGTCCACACTGGGTGCAGACAGGACAGAGACAAGGCAGGGCCACCTACCGTTGTAGTAGTAACCCTTAATGTCCTTGGGCGCCTCGTCCAGGCGGTACTCGTTCAGCTTCTTCTGGGTCAGCTCGTGCCAAAAGCCAACGTCTAGGGCACTACTGAAGGGGGCAAACTGCAGCTTGGACAGTCCTGGGTCCCCCATGGCTGCTGCTCTTACCTGCCTACCCAAAAGAAAACCAAAAACCTCAGCAGAATAGAGAGAAGCCACAAAACGTGGTGAGAAAGAGCATTCATAATAGAGCTTCATCCAAGCAAACCAACAGGAGGTAGTGAGAAGAAACGTATGGGCTCCTGGATGACAAAACTGTTGAAGACACCCTGCTGTCTTGCTGAGAGCACAGCTCAGAGGCATTAGGGACAGTCACCATGCCATGACAAGACCTCCTCTGAAATGGCTCCGTCTGTGACACGAGAACTCAGCACCTGTTAAAGAGCTGCTCCCCCAGCCCCTCTCCCAGGCCCCCAGCATCCACCCTGTCACTGTGAGACTGATGACAGCAGATTCGTTAGATCCTGTCTTTAGGGACCATCTTATTTCATGTAAAACATGACTTTGAAAACCATGAGGAGTCTGCCCGATTGTCGTTTAGTCTCTTTATACAGGTGATTCTTACAAGTAACCCCTTCTCGCCTTAACTTCCTTCCTGTTTTAGTGCTGGGGTTGCAACCCAGTCTCTCCCCCTCAAGACAAGTACATAGCACTGAACTGCACCAGGCCTGCCCTCAACTTCCATGCATCTTTCTGTCTAGTCAGGGTCAGCCTGACTTAGGCACTGACATGACTCCTTTGAGACAGTCACGGACTTCAAACACAAAATCCAAAGTCCTGTCAGCCAGAAGAATGCCAATCTGAGCTGGGCGTGGTGGCGCACTCCATCATCTCAACACTTGGGAGGTAGAGGCAGGAGAAGCAGGCATTCAAGATCATCTTTGGCTACCTAGTAAGTTCAAGGCCAGCCTGGGCTGCATAAGATCTTGTCAAATAAAAGGAAGGGCAGGGGAGGAAAGAGTGGAGGAAAGGAGAGAGAGAGGGAGGCCGGCCAGAAAGGTGAGTTGGAATTCTGTCTGTGTAGGAAAAATATTTGAGCACCTGAGGATGGGATGTGGGGTAAGTCATGCCCCACCTCCCACCAGCCTGAATGTCTTTGAAATCTCACATTGTATCTCTTTTCCCATACAGGGGCTATGCTAGGGTTCTGAGCTGTTACACAAAAATTTTGTGTTCTATAGCATGATACAAATTTTAATGCTTCATTTTCCCACATAACAAGTGAATTTGACCCTGCAAGCAACCTTACATGTACATCACACATGTACTGTGTTTGTGTACCAACCATGTGGTGCACCATGCCTGCGTACCATTACCTGTGAACCACACATGTGCACCACACCTGTGTATCATGCATATACATAATGTATGTGCATGTCTATAAAAGCACGCCAGTCAACCACACCTGTACATACCCGTAAACCACATATGTGTACCACACTTAGGTGTTCATACCCCAGTGTGCACAGCAGGAGCCAGTGTGGTGGAGTCAGTCTCATCACTACTGTATTTGGGAATTATCCAACTTTTAGTTACTGTCATATATTTAATATTCTAATACTGTCCAAGCCAAAAGAAAAATGAAAATCAACTCAGCAATGATCCTATTTACCAAAGAGATTTTTTTTTCCCTGTGCCCTAGCTGTGTGTCTATTTAAAGAACAGGCTTAAACTGCTCTGGCTCAGATTCACCTACTTTTGCATCCTGGATATGACCATGCACCCAGGCTGACTTACCCAATATGGGTCTGGATAAGTTGGGTTAACTCTGTCGGGCCCCTTCTACTTAGTCTCTGTTAGGCAATACATTTTCACTATTTTTCCTGGGTTTCTGGCTGAAAGCACATTAATTTCCTAATATTTACTCTTACCTACTTTATACATTTATACTGGTTTTTATACCCCAGAGCCTACAGCTCCACTTTTAGAGTCTCTGTGGATTCTAGAAATACAAAGAAATGCCACACATCCGCCACAGGCCAGAAAACTAATTATGAAGTGAGCAAACCTGAAAATGTTTTATTTAAAATCTGTTATGAATTAACTATCTCCTAGCGGCTGATTTTTTAAATGTGAACATTTAGAGAAAACTTCTACCACGTACGGTGCCTGTTATCGCAGCATTGGGCTTGCTGAGGTGGGAGGTTCAAAGCAAGGCTGGATGACATAGGGTGTTCCAGGCTTGCTATATGGCAAGAAAAAAGACTGAAAGAATGGGAAAGGGCCTCTAAGGCAGCCCCTTTTGGAGGAGCTACTGGCAGTTGATGGCTGCTGAGGGAGGGATAGCCACTTAGTTTTGGGGCTATGGGGTTACTCATGCTCCAGTAGACAGCTGCACACTCATGTGCATATGTGCAGCATTAACTGGACTCGGATTTTTTTTTAATTTATTATTTTTTATTTTATGTGTATGCATGTATTGCCTCCATGTAAGTAAGTGCATTTGTGTCATGCAATGCCTGCAGAGGGCAGAAGACGCTGTTGGGTTGCCTGGAACTGGAGTTATAGACAGTTGTTAACTGCCATGTGGGTGCTGGGATTCGAACCCAGGTCTTCTGCAAGAACAGCCAGTGCTCTTAACTGCTGAGCCATCTCTCCAGCCCCATGGACTCAGATTCTTAATAGCAAAAAATAGAGAGGACATGAGAGCTGGAGGGGAGACAGAGTGGGAGCACTATGGAGAGTTTGAGGGAAGTGGTGGAAGATGGATAATGATCAATACGCATCGTGAAAATGTATGGAAGGCTCAAAGAAGTTTTTAAAAATCATTAAGAAAAGAGAAAGAAAAGAAACTGGGCATGCCTTTAATCCTAGCACTCGGCAGACAGAGGCAGATGGAGCTCTGGGAGATTGAGGCCAGCCTGGTCTACACAGCACGTTCCAGACCAGCTGGGGCTACAGGGAGACCTGTGTCAGTGCCCCCCCCCAAAAAAAACAAAAAGAGAAAAATGAAAAAACTATTTCCACTGTGAGGATTAACTACACTTAATTTTTATTTTTTATTATTTATTTTAATTTAAAAATAACATTGTATGAATTTATTTTTTTGTGTAAAGGTCAAACAACAACTGAGCCTTCCACCATGTGGCACCAAGGGATCACACTCAGATTATCAGACTAGGCAGCAAGGGCCTCTACCTGCTGAGACATCTCACTGGCCCTATTTACTTATGTTTTTATCCAAGTCAGACAATGTCATAATGAATGTTTAAAATTTATCTCCTGTATGCCTAAGCAAAACATACAACTTTTGCCTTTTAAAATAGCACAAGAAAACAGTCATAAGCTTTCATGCAATTAACCAGACAGTTTTAATGATTTATGTTAGTATTTATAACTTTCTCCAGTAATTCCAAAATTTGATTTACTTAACTGTATTCCAGAAATGGATTTAAAACAACAGAATTCAATACTAAAAGTTTTGTTTTATATAAAATGTCTGTAAAACAAGCTTTGTAGAATTCTTTTAATTGGGAGTTGTTTAACTATAAACAGTTAATACAATACATTCCACTCAGGAGGGCTGAAGATACGATTCACTTAAAGGCCTCTATAAACCCCTTTAGAAAGTGACTTTTAATATGCTATGTAGAGGATTCTTAAACTTTTTCCATTTGCAATCACTTTATGCTCGAGAAATTTAAAAAAAATTATTTATTTTTATGTGTGTTTTGCCTACATGTATGTAAATACACAATGTGCATGCAATGTCCAGAGGCCAGAAGAGGGAGTCGGATCCCTTGAAACTGCAGTTACTGATGGTTGTTAGCCACCATGTGGGTGCTGGAACCCAAACACTGGTCCTCTGCAAGAGCAGCCAGTGCTGTTAACCACTGAACCATCTCTCCAGTCATTGCTTGAGACATTGCTTAAACAACCTGGCTATACATGTGGGATGGTTAATATTGAAGGCCATGATGAACAGTATCCCCAAACTATGAGTTAAATATTTCCTTCCTTAAATTGCTTTCTGACAGACATTTTGTTGCAATGACAAAATAACTAATACAGAAAACTGGTACTGAAAAGTGGGTTGCTGTGATTAGCCATATCATATGGTTCTTAGGCCTTTGGAACTGGATTGTGGAAGAAATGTGGAAGAGCTTGGAACTTTGTGCTAGAAAAGCCCGAGGGCTGTCAGCAGAGCTTAATGGGCCACTTTGGAGGGAGTATGGGAGACCAGAATGTTAAGAGATATGTGCACAGTGGAGGCTAGGCTTGTGAGGTTTCAGAGGGAACACAGACGCTATGAGGAACTGGGCTGGCAGTCACTTGAGTTATATTCTGGCAAAGACTTTGACTTCATTCTACCTATGTCCTGAGAACTTGAGTGAAGTTGTATTCAAAAGTAATGGACTAGCATCTGGAGAGATGGCTATGACTCACGACTATCTATAACTCCAGTTCCAGGGTATCTGACACTGCCTTGTGTTTTCTGTGGACACCAGGCAATGCACATGGTGCACATAAACACATGCAGGCAAAACATGCATACTTTTTTTTTTTTTTTTAAGTAGTGGACTAATTTGCTTAGCAGGAAATTCCAACACAGACTAGTGCTCAGGCCGTGGCCTGGTTACTGCTCACTGCTCCTATCCAGGTCTACAGTAATAGAGAACAAGTGGAGAAAAAAATTTTTTTTCTAAGTGTACTTGCTGTTTGGTAGAAGGAATTCAAAGTTGCCCACCAAGAGAATACAAAGCACCATTAAAGGGAAGCCCAGTGTTCTGTACTGGGATGCCATGAGGGAAAATCCCCACTCACTGCAGGCTCCCCACCCACTACAAGCTCCAATATACAAGTTCTTTTGGCAGGTGAGAGCCTCAAGAGAGAATGGCACTGAATAAGTTATCTGCTCAAAAACATGGCTCAGGCAAGGGTTTCCTCAGGGCAACACACAGAGGCTAATGTAACTGGGACCAAGGTGGTCAATCTACATCTTGAGTTAGCAGAAGAAGTTAGCAGGTGGTTTTTACAAGTATGAAAGATGCAAGAGTGAAGGAGTTACAGAGGCTTGTGCCAAGGTTCCACATGGCTATTGAGGCCCAGCACAGTGAGGCAGTGAAGGGGAGGCCTAATTTTCCATGGAGACATCAGGATGCAGACGATGCC